TATTTGCTAATAGTGGCCATCCACCGATTGCCTGCCTCCTATCCCAGAGCCTGCTCCCTGAGGAGAGCCAATTCTGGCTATCCCTGCATCCGGTCCCACTAGGACTGGTGGAGGCTCTGCTCCTGGCAGCCAGTCTTGCTGCTTATGACATGTGATCACAGCTGCAGACAGGCCTGGCTCAGAGCTTCCTTTCACCTCAGACTGGGTTCACCCGCAAGGAAGTAGTAGGGCAAAGTAAATAGTCATGGACCTGCCTGAGGATTCAGAAGCATGTAGTCTACCAAATTTCAAAAAGAAGGCAGTCCTGGTTCCACTACTCTTGGATTGCTAAGAGACCAACAGCCACCAGTGGTACAGGCCTCAGTTAGCACATGCACCTCAGCAGATGGGGAAACGACCTAACCTTTAACTCCAGAAATAGGCAAATGCAGTACACACAGTACTTTCAGACTAAAAGGGTACCCCAGAGGTGGTGACATAAGCTACAAACTAGAGCAAGATAGTCCCTGTCTTGGTCAGCTTGGCTGAGCGTTAAGACCACCAGAGACTGCCTCTTGACCCCTCACACCCCTCCATAATTTCCAAATTCCAGATGATTCAGAACTGGAAAACAAGCTTGATGGAAATCCAATTATATGAATGTTTCCCCCTCTAGCAATGAAAACAGCATGTGCTTTGTCTTCCAAGCTTCATCTTAAAGCTGGTCATGGTGCTGTGCACCTGTAGTCAGAGCACTAACGGGCTGAAGCCAGGAGTTTGAAGTCAGTCTGAGCAACATAGCAAAATCCTGCCCCCAAAACAAACACATCTATAAAACAAAAAGAAAGGGTGGAAGATGGCACAGTGGTACTAGCTCTTGTTCTGCAAGCATGAAGAAGAGTTTAAATCCCTATGATTCACATAAAAGCCAGTCATGGGGGTTGGAGTCATGGCTGCAGAACACAGGTGTGGGATTCCCAGCACCATGAGATCTCTCACAGCTGCTCTAACTCCAGTCCCAGGAGATCCACTGCCCTCTTCTGGCCTCTGTGGGCACCGCACCCAGAAGGTTCACGGATATATATGCAGGTGAAACACTCAAACATACAGAATTTAAAAAGAAAATAAAAAAGAAAGCCAGACTTGGCACATGCCTATTGTCCTGGTGGCTTAAAAAAATTCAGTCATGGCTGGGCATGCCTATAAGCTCAGCACTATGTGACACAGACAGAAATCCAGAGACATCACTGGCCAGTTGAGCCCATAAAGCAAGCTTCTAGTTCAGATGCAGACCTTGTGTCAAGGCACTGAGGTGGATATCTGCTCCGGCCTCTATATGCACCCAGGTACCACCCCCCCAACACACACACCAAACACCTAAACAATAATAAACATTGGATGCCTAATTGTGCCTTGCACTATGTTCCGCATTTATTTAGCTCTCAGTAAAGCTACATGGGGTGGAAATCTCAATGCCATGGGGTCAGTCAGCTTTTGTCAAGGTCACAGGGATTTAAATATACAGCCAAGACCGATGAGCACTGATTATCAAATCTTCATAATATAACCCTACAAGGTAAATTTTATCAGCATTTTGTAAATGAAATTAAGGTTCAAAAAGCTAGATTTAGTTGGGTATGGTGGGGCACACCTTTAATTCCGGTACTCTGGAGGGAGACAGAGCTCTGAGTGGGGCCCTGTACTTCTTCCTTCCTTTCTTTCTTTCTTTCTTTCTTTCTTTCTTTCTTTCTTTCTTCACGGTCTCTCTACATAGCCTTGGATGCTCTGGAATTCACTTTGTAGACTAGGCTGGCCTCAAACTCAGAATTTGCAAAGATCAGCCTACCTCTGCCTCCTGAGTGCTGGGTTTCAAGGCATTCGCCATTGCATCTGGCTGTGAGACCTCCATCTTTAAACACAAAACAGATTGGTTCTAGCATCAGAAGCCCTAGTCTGTGACCCCCCCCCCCTACTTTCTGTCTCAGCCTTCTTCGAGAAGTTCCTGCCATCAAATGCAATTATTCTATGTAACTGCCACAGACAATCTTGTGGCATGTCACAACCCCGGGGCCACCCTGAGATTGACCTGCTTTCAGCAGGGCTCCTCTAAGACAGCAACTAGACACTGCAGGAAGGATAACAAAAGCCAGTCATTTCTAAACAAGCTCTGTCACCTTGGATCACATCACGGCAACAGCTTTTCACCTCTCACCCCCCCCCCCAAGTCCTTTCTACAGCTGGCTTTTCCCAGTGCCCCAATACCATCCTTAAAATAAATAAATATCACAAAACATTTATTTAAAGCAGTGTTTCTTGAAATCCTGGGTTGTAACCTCTTTGGCGGTCAAATGAACACTTCACAGGAATTGCATTATCAGATATCCTGCATATATTTACATTACAACTCATAACAGTAGGAAAAATTTAGTTATGAAGTAGCAATGACAATAATTTCATGCTTGGAGAGCACCACAACTTGAGAACCACTGACTTAAAGTGTGTACAGTGCATGTTCTGGCTTCACATCCTGTCTGCAAATGTGGATTGCAGTCATCCAACTCAAAAGCAAGTGCCTTTAGTGGCTGAGATTTTTTTTTTCTTTTAAGTTTGTTTTGGTTTTTTGAGATAGGGTCTCTCTTTACAGCCCTGGCTGTCCTGGAACTCGCTCTGTAGATAAGGGTGGCCTTGAACTCAGGGATCCACCTGAATCTGCCTCCCAGTGCTGGGATAAAGGCAGGGACCACCATGTTGGGCTGAATGAGCCATCTTTTAAGCAAAGGCTGCATGTGATTTTCAGAACAAACGCCTTCAGCTTTTGGCCTTTCCCAGCACATCTTTGCATGGGCCATACATACTTACAGTAGTCACAGAGGTCTTTTAAGTCAAGAAAGGCAACGAACACTGTTTCAAAGGGAATAGCTTTGCCTGGCCTGATCGGGACCCCATGCATTTATAGTCTACAAATCTGCTCATCTGTCCTGCTCTTGAGACTGTTGGGTGGTAAGAAGCGTGACTGGGTGAGAAGGCTGGTCACAATCTGCCCTCTGCTGGACCGTGGCGGTATTGAGTGCACTGCCCTTCCACTGTCTGATGCATGACAGAGCAGGTATTTATTGCAATGGCCCTGAGCTCGAAAAGGTAATCTGTCCACAAGGAGTTCGAGTTTAGTTAAAAAGGACATTTAGAGCTGTGTGGTGTAGCGGTGGTAGATCCCTTTGCGTGTAGCCCTGGGTTTGATATCAGCACTGAAAAAATCAAAACAAGGCTGACATTAACCGAGCGAATAAGAAATTACAACTGTAAGCACATGGGCAGTGGGATCTCGACTAGAATGAGGTGTGGTGGGCCAATGAACGCGGTTCCAGGACGGGAAATCCGAGCACTAACCACCTCATAAAGATATTTCACGTACTCTGGCAAATCCTATAAGTAGCTTTCCTTCATAAAGCAAGAACCGCCTTCAATTCTGTGGAAGATTCGCCCAAAGTCACATATCCAGGTGGAAAGGAACAGGACATAGGTAGACGCGGTTCCAAAGTCCTTGCGTCTCAGGTGTTCCTGTCGTTGCAGCTGGCGGCCAGGCTGGGCACGGATCAGAGTCCTGAAGTCGGCCTTCCCAGTCTCCTTGGAGAAAGGGTTCCCTTGGGTGTGAACACGGGACAGGGGCGGAGTCTTTTCGAAGTGAGGGGTGGAGCCAGGACAGTGAAGGCCGCACCTGGTTGGTGGAAGGAGTGGAGCCCGGATCTCACCGGGTCCCAGAGAAGGCGGAAGTGCCCTGACCTAGTTACTTACCTGTGGGACCTCTGCGTTCAGGTAGAGGCGACGACTCTGGGTCCCAAAGTCCATGGGAGGAGGGGAATTCCTAGGTAGGAACCTAGCTGGACCAGGGGAAAAGTTCCTCTCCCACCTATTCTATCTCGCTTCATTCACGTTCTAGGGCCAGAGTTCGTTCACCAGGAGCTTGGGAAAGAGTGGGCGGAGGGATGATGGCCTCACTTCCTCCCAGCGGCTGCGAGCTCCCTGGGTAGTCAAGACTAGTGAGCTGGAGAGGAAATGCTGGAACGCTTTATGGAGGCTACTCTAGACTGACTGTGTATCCTTGGTACTGAGTGTTCTTAGTTGCAAAGAAATGTCCGGCCCTTTCCCTCTGCTGGGGCAACAGAAGTTGCTACCCTATTCTGGGGAATTGCAGTTTAGTGGTGGAGAACTTCCCTGGGATAGGAGGGACCCTGGATTTCCTCCCCAGCACTGCTATAAACAAACAAAGTGCTTGTCCACTAGGCAGTAGTGATGCAGGCTTTTAATCCCAGCACTCAGGAGGCAGAGGCAGGCAGATCTCTGTGAGTTTGAGGCCAGCCCGGTCTACAGAGCTAGTTCCAGGCCAGACAGGGCTACACAAAGAACCCCTGTGTGGAAATGGTGGCATATGCTAAGTCATCCCCACTCCATTCGTGGGTAAGGGTACCAAACTGCCTGGGTGCTAATCTCCACTCTGCCAGTGACTAGTTGTGACTCTGATCTGGTCACTTCTTTTGTCTGAGTCTCTTATGTCCATCCTCTGAAGTGCACCACCTGTTGACATACAGAAAAGAAAGCTTATTGCCTGGGATAGCAACATTCCTCCAAAAATGGCACGCACTGGGGTCCATCCTTCAGACTTTGCCAAAAATCCAGCTATGGCCTGGGAACGCTGAGACAGCTCTTCTCAACACTCAAGGATACAGGCACCACTGGGGAGGTTGTTCTGATGGACATGTGGACCCATGAAGACTTTTAGAACCAAGTGTCCACATTTCTAACCAAGCTCCGCAGTGCCACTTGGGCTGCCAATTCCTGGACCACATTCCAAGCTCAGTGCATCACCGAGCTATGCAGAGTGGCTGCTCTCTGCAGACAGCTGTGGTGTGGTTTGGGGACTGTGGGCTAATGAAGGAGTCAAGAGACCTGAGTCAGCCTCTCTCCTGCTCCCCTGCCCCCACCTATGCTGTATTAGGTCTATAAAGCTGGATAAGTGGCTTAGCTTCCTTGAAGGATGATCCTGAACCCTTGTCCTCCAGGAGTTGTGCAAGATCTGAGAGCAGAGGGTGACGTGGAGGTGTGTCAGGTCCAGTTCTCAGCCCTGGCAGCCAGAGGAGCTGTAGGTCACTTTCCTGGCAGCATAGCAGGTACAATGGGCTGAATCTGGAAAGGGTGGCATAGGGCGAGGGGACACTATGTCAGCTTGGTTATGACTTTCATTATAGCCCTGGCTTTCCTTTGGTGCCACTGAAGCCTCCTGCCTTCACCTATCCCCACCCTGCCTGATTCAGGAAAGCTGGAGGGACCAGTCTGGCTAGGGTAAAGAACAACATTGGCCTGAATGTGCACCTGAGTTCTAGTCTGAAGCTAGGGGCTAAGGACAATGGCCTGGAGACCATGAGGCTGTGGGCCTCAGATGGACATCTTACCAGGAGAAAATAGGGTGGCAGGGTTGGAGTGGTTTCTAAAGCAACACAGAGACTTCACTTGGAATCTGGACTACTAATAGGGCTCAGTAGAGGGTTATGTGCCTGGAGTGTGTATGCAATTTCTAGGACCAGGAAGCAGCAAGCTGTCTAGACCCATTTCTCAAGAGGAAGATTTCCTTTGGGATGCTATCTATACCTAACAAGGTTAGCTGTATGTGGAGGCTGTCCCCACTGCTCATAATGTCCTGTTTCCATGGTGACTCTATTTGTTTCTGACAAGGGTTCTGGACATGAGTCACACAAACCTGGACTTGACCCTCAGGTTCCCTCTTTATAGGTATGAGACCCTCGGCAAGTCACCCCACCTCTCCAAGCTTTGACTGGTCCATCTGTAAACAGGAACAATGTAACCCTGCTCTGCCAGCCTTGCAGGGCTGTTGTGAAGATTAGATGAGCCATGCCCATGGGGTGCTCAGTCATTACCATGAGTCATAGCATTTGGAGGCAGAGGCACGGGCACCCAGCTATCATCTCACCTTATTTTTACAGATGTGGAGATTGGCAGTAAGAGAAGACAGCAGGCTGCCCAAGGGCCCCACAATAGGTCGGTGGGCCAGCCACGGCTAGTAGGCCTAGGTCTCCTGGAGACCATCCATCTCAAAGCTGCTGCTGCTGTACAGACACATTCTCTCTTCAAGGGCTAGACACAACTTAAGCTTGGGCATCCCAGCTCTTGGCCAGCAGCAGCCATGAACTATGTGGGGCAGTTGGCAGAGACGGTGTTTGGAACAGTTAAGGAACTATACAGGGGCCTAAACCCTGCCACGCTGAGTGGCGGCATCGATGTGCTGGTGGTGAGACAGACGGATGGCTCCTTCCGGTGCTCGCCCTTCCACGTGCGATTCGGCAAGCTGGGTGTCCTGCGGTCACGGGAGAAGGTGGTGAGTGCTTCGGCCTGTGGTTTGGCTTCATCAGGGCGGGCTTTTGAAGGCAGCATAATCACTGCTGTCCCAGAAAAGACTTCGCTTCTGTAAGGGGTGGAGGTGGGGTGTGCCTACCCCTTTTTCCTTCTTCTGTATTTCCACTGACTTGTCTTTTAAGATATATTTTATCGTATTTAGTGTGCGTGCGCGTGTGTGTGTGTGTGTGTGTGTGTGTGTGTGTGTGTGTGTGTACAGTGTGGGAGTTCTTTCCTTCCACAATGTGGGTTCAGGTCGCCAGCCTTGGTGGCAAGTGCCAGTTTCCACTGTGCCACTTCACCGGCCCTCACTGATGTTTCTGGGTTTGTTTAAGGCCTTGATCCAGAAGAGTCTCATTTGCCCAGGTAGGAAGCCCAGTGGAGCAGAGCCAGGTTCTGTGGCTGCTGGGGCTGTCTCGTTGCTAAGACCCCTGTGCTCGCTAATCGCCTCACGTCTTTAAACCCAGTCACGTCACCTTAGGAATGGACAAGTCTTTATATGCCTGGTGCTAGCAATGGAATAGTCTGGGACAGTAAACAGCAACAGATAATGTGGCCTTGAGGTTAGCTCTGTGGGGACAAAAGTCAGTCCTTTAGGAGAGACACATCGGCTTCCTCAGGTTCATGACAGGCTTCATTTAGCTCCTGGGTCTGTCCATGTGTGAGCAGCAGTGTAGTGGGCCCAAACCCCATTCAAGTTGAGGTGACTGATGTTTTAGAACCCTGATAGGAAAGTATAATCTTTGAAAGATAGTGTACCCTGGAGGTGAGGTTGGGCTGTAGGGCTGGGCAGATGGTAGAATCAGTAAAAAGCTTGCCATGCCATGGGCTGGGGTTCCCAGCAAACTTTCCCCACACAAACAGCAAGGTACAGAAGATGTCTGTAATACTAGCAGAGGCAGGTAGAACTCTGGGGCTCACTAGCCTGCCAGCTTCACCAATGGGTGGGAGACCCTGTCTCAAAAAAAATAAGGTAGAGTGTGACTGAGTGCTGACACCTGAGATTGGCCTCAGGCACCCACACATGCAGGCACCCACACAAATATGTACACATGCATATCACACCACATACAAACACACACAAAACAAAGCAAGGAGATTGGGGTGTAGTTGAAGACCTTTTGAGTTCATAGACTCTTGCTGGGAGGGCAGGTCCTCACAAATAATCTACCCCCAACACAACACACACACACACACACACACACACACACCTCAGTTTCCTTATCTATAAAATGGACATAATGATAGGAGCTACTACAAAGGGTTCTTATAAAGTTAAACAGGATTCTCTACATAAAACACTCTACCATAAGTGGTAAGTCTAACCACTATTCATGTAGTCAATACCTGGGAGCTGGGAGGAAGTAGAGAATGAGGTCACAGCAATAATTGCCTGGTGACCCAGTGGTAAGAGCAGCCAGGGCCATGGAAGTCAGGAGAGAGCTCCAGCCAGCTCAGGGCTGGAGGCAGGCAGGAGTGTATCTCCAGTTGCTGGCTCAGTTGAGGACCGGTGCTATGGCCACTTAGTCCCCATCCACCATTTCCATTGCAGGTAGACATTGAAATCAATGGAGAGCCTGTGGACTTGCACATGAAGCTGGGGGACAGTGGCGAGGCCTTCTTTGTCCAGGAGCTGGACAGTGATGAGGTAGGGATCATCACCCTGGCTTGTGCCAGACCTCACCCCTTCCCTGGTGCTGTCCCACGAGGGAACCTGGCATCTGTCACTGTCCCTGACCCCAGGGACATCTCTTTAGCAGAGAACTGATTCGGGGGGTCACTTGAGGCTTTCTTCAAGCTTCATGATATTTCTGTCACAGCCCAGAAAGGGGACCGACTCTGGTTGATTCTTTCTGGGGAAGGTTTCTGAAGCAGGAACCTTCTGGATCCCTGGGGAGTGGAAAGTTGGCCTATTGGCCTGCCTGGGAATCTCAGAAAAGATGAGGGTGAAGGGACTGCAAAGAATAAAGCCTGGCTCTTCTAGTCCGCGTCACTACCATACAGCCAGAACACAGAACTGGGAGGTGGGGAGGGGGGTGAAAAGCGGAGTGTTTTCCGAATGAATGGAGGCAGGGCCTAGCCCGAGCCAACAGCGAGTTTTAACCGCTTGCATTTGATGGGCTTTACTGAGCCTCTGCTGTATGCCAGACACTATGCAGCAGGCTCAAACAAGTGAGTCCTTTACCTTCAAAAAGAGTTCCAGACAAGGGCTGGAGAGACTGCTCTTCTAAAGGTTCTGAGTTCAATTCCCAGCAACCACATGGTGGTTCACAACCATCTGTAACGAGATCTGGTGCCCTCTTCTGCCATGTAGTCATACATGCAGACAGAACACTGTAAATAAGTCTAAAAAAAAAAAGAGTTCCAGACAAGTCTGGAATACAAGCCCATGGATATCCAACAATGCAGCCTCTTAGCCATTGCAAGGAATTTTGGGCAAGCTTCCTGGAGGAAGCTGTTACCAAGAGACAGTGAGAGACTAAGGCCCCTGCTTCTGCCTGTTCTGACACAGCTGCCTAGACCGCTGCCTCACCTCTCAGAGGGGTTTTGTGGCCAGTATGTGCTGTCACCACCTCTGCTCCTTAAGTGAGCTCACTGTGGGGTTCTGGATAACCTGATGGCTCTAGCACATTAGCGCTGGTTCTCCCCGCAGGAAGACGTGCCTCCTCGCCTGTGCACCTCGCCTATCCCATGGGGAGGTCTGTCGGGCTTTCCCTCAGATTCCCAGCTGGGCACAGCCAGTGAGCCTGAGGGCCTTGTCATCACTGGGCGGAGAAAGAGGAGGCGTAGGAGGAAACCCAGGCGCAGGGAGGGCGCTGTGGACTCCAGTTCTGAGGAGTTGGAGGCAGATGCCGAGAGTGAGCTGTCCTTGCAGGAAAAGCCAACACCAGAGTCCCCAAGGTGGGTAGGAACCCGGTTGAGGCTGTGGGGAGCACTAGCCTGGATCAGAGCATTTCCACTGATGGTGCTGTGCAAGTCTGCACAAGGGCCTTGGGCTTTACTGTCCCAAGTCCTGATAGCCAGATTTCTGTGCCCTTGCCTGTTCTGAGAATTTCTCTGTGCTCCCTAAGCAGTGCTCAGGAGGAAGAGTCCTCATTGCAGCCTAAGGACATCTACCCTTATTCTGATGGCGAATGTACCCAGCAGGCCAGGTAAGAGTTGAGTGTGTGGCTGGTTGGCATGAGCCAGGTTTCTGCTTACATCTCTGTGTTGACTAATGCCTCAGAATCCACTCAGTGGACATCTGTATTTCTCTTTTGTAAAACATTCACATTTGGCTTATGTTTGGCAGTGCTTTGGGACAAAGCCAATTTTTAAATTGTGGCAAAATATTCTTCACATAAACTTTACCATTTTAACCAGTTCAGAGTGTACAATTCAGTGGCATAAAGTCCATTCACAGTGTTACATAAATGGAACCACTCTCTAGTTCTAGAACTTTCCTTCATGCTGGAAAGAAACTCTATTCATTAAGAAGTCACATTTGTGGGGCTGGAGAGATGGCTCTGCACTTAAGAGCACTTGCTTCCAGGGGATACAAGTTTAGCTCCTAGCACATGTATTAAGCAGCTCATAACTGCCTGTCACTCTAGCTTCAGGAAATCTGATGCCCTTTTCTGGCCTTTGCAGGTACTGCACTCATGTGCACACATACACATAAATAGATCTTATAGAAACCACATCTTGCCGTCCTTTTCATTTATTTATTTATTTATTTATTTTTTGAGACAAGGTCTCACATAGCCAAGGTTGGCCTTGAACTCCTTATATAGCAGAACATGATGTTAGCTTTAAAAAATAAGATCAGATTGCCTTCTTGTTGATTTATAGGAGTTCTTTATATATGTAACATATATACACACTTATATTCTTGTATATTTTGGATTCAGTACAGGCATAAATACATATTGAACATTTTTTTTTCTTACGTTAGGCCAGGTTGGGGAGTGGTGACAGGTTGACTAGTGAATGCTGGTTCTTTGCAGCCTTTCAACAGGTGACCTAATGTCCCCTAAGAGTGACTCTGAGCTGGAGCTGCGGTCCTTGGAGCCCAGTCCCCTGAGAGCTGAGTCTCACATGCAGTGGTCCTGGGGAAGACTGCCTAAGGTGGGTTCCTCCATATTGCCCCCATCCTTGCCTTCCAGGAACTCCCTGGCCTTCTACATCAGGATTAGAGTTGCTGGGATGTGAGTCTTGTGAGCTCCCATGCACCAGGCTATGTCTTTCTGTATTTGTCTGACTGAAGGTGGCGAAAGCTGAGCGGCTTGAGTTGTCTATGGTCCTTGACAGTGTGGCCGAGGCAATCTCTGCTCTTCCTGAAGAACCGGAACCTAACACTCCATCTTCCCCCTCTGTGGCTGGTGTGGACACTTTGAGACCCCCAGTGCTTCAGCCTAGGGTCAGCACTGAAACAGTGCAACCTGATGTGGCGACACACTATGAGGAAACTCTAGTGGATTCTCCCCTTGCCACCGCAGAGAGTAAGGAAACCAAGACTCAGAATTCTAGGGGTGCGAGCCACCCTCCTGCCACTAAATCCTGGAGCTGGAGCTCTCTGGAGAGCCATATTCCCTCTGGACATCCTGAAGTCTCCAAGGGAAAAGGTGAGTGGTGGCTGGGTGCCTCTCACCACGCCCCTGGCCTCGGGTTATGTCCTGTGTGGACTATAGGACTTTAAGTACAGTTTGAGCATATATGCCTGCTATATGCCAGGCCTTGTGCTTGGCCAGTGTTCAAGGGGCCCATTCCAATGGAGGAGGCAAATGGAATATGTATAAACAAGGGAGGGAATGGCATAGACCACACAGAACAGAGTCATTAGCTCAGAGATGGGAACCGTGAAGTCACATGGTCATGGAAGCTCTCTCTGAATAGTGAGAGTTGTAACTGAGACATGGAAAATGAAGACTCAGCCGTGGAAGGGATGAAAAGAAGATTCTAGGCTGAGGAAGATGCATGAGTTAGGCCTCCAAGGTGGGAGAGATGTTTCAGGCCTAGGACCTAAGACAGCTGAGGAGGGCAGGCAGGCCAAGCAAGGCTGGACCAATCTCAGCTCGCAGCCTGTCTTTACCAAAGAGTGGTAGGAAGCCCCCCTGGACTGCATTGTCCAAGTTGGGAGCCATTGATTTATAGGAGGTAAAATAAAAATGAATAATTAAGGGCTGGGGATGGTGTACAGTTGATGGAGTGCTTGACTAACATGTAGGAAGCCAGGGTTCAAGTCCCAGCCCCACACAAATTGTGTACAGTGCCACGAGCTTATAATCCCAGAATTTGGGAGATACAGGTGGGGAAGGGGCTGGAAATTCAAGGTTGTCCTTGGCTATATAGTGAGTTCAAAGCCAGCCTGGAGTACATGAGACCCTGCCTCAAAGAAACAATGGGGCTAGTGAGATGTCTTGGTGGGTAAAGCACTTGCTGCCAGGCCTGACAGCCTAAGCTTGATCCCCAGGACACACATGGTGGAAGGTGAGAACTGACTTCTGCAAGTTGTCCTCTGACCTACACACACACACACACACACACACACACACACACACGCACGCACGCACGCACGCACGCACGCGCACACACACACACAGTGGTCCTGTGACCACTACATGTGTACCATGACACACATGTATCCACATTCACACACACACACACAAAATAAATAAATAAATTTTTTTTAAAGATACTAATAAATAGGTAAGAAAAATGAAATTTTTAAAATTCCACCCCTCTGTGACACCAGAAGTGAGTGCTTAGTAGCCACATGTGGCAGTGGCCACAGTACTGGACAATATAGATACGGGCCCTTTCTGTCATGGAAGAGTTCTATTGGACAGCAACACCTTAGGACATTCAAAGGCAAAAGGCCACATGTTGCTCATGTCACTGAACCCATGTTTGGTGGATGTCTGTCCCCTCCTTCACCCTCAGGTCCCCTGAAGAGAAACCACCATCTGGGCCCCAGTGACATCTACCTGGATGACCTCTCCTCCCTGGACTCTGAGAATGCAGCCCTTTATTTCCCCCAGAGGTGCCTGGGCTCTGGGGACAGGGAGTTTGGGACAGGGGCCTGTGGAGCCAATGGCCTTCTATCAAGATCATGGGAGGAAAGATCGTCTTTATTCATGTCATTGCTGCTCTCTTTGTCTTCAGCGACTGTGGGATGGGGATCAGGAGGTGGAGTGAGCCCAGCCACCAGAAGCTCCTGGAGAACCCCAACCCTGAGCATATAGCAGAACCCACTCTGGACCCAGTGGACAAAATAGAACTGTCCCTCTGTGGTGGACTGGCCGACACTCGAGACATCTCCCTGGGTATGTTCAACCACAGTGGCAGTCACCCCAAGGATTAGTGCAGAGAGCGAGGGACCAAGGGAGGATGGGGAAGTTATTCAGGGATCAGAAAAGGGATGAAGGCTCCTAGGGATGAAAGGAGGTCAGAGGAGAACAGATATAGCACCCAGGAGCCATAGGAGGACAACCCTTGGGGCCAAGGAAGAGCAAGGAAGTCCTCCAGAGGTCACAGGAGGGTAGGGAAGACTTCTGGGGACAAAGATGTGAGGCTGAACTGAACTTCCTGCCATTATCTGTTGTGTGGTGCCCATGCTTGACCAACATCTTTGTGACACAAATGCTTGACCTAGCCTGTAGATCCTGGAGTGGGAACAGATGTAAAAACCACAGGAATGGGAAAATGTTGCTAGGTCAAGGACCTGACCCATAGAAGGTATATAGGAGAGTATGCAGAAGTAGATGAAGTGGGTCGCGACAGTGTCAGCCCTCACTCTCTGCCTCTGTGCCCAGAGAAGTTCAACCAGCACATGGTCTCCTATGAGGACCTCATAAAAAATCCCGGGCTCCTGGATGACCCAAACCTCGTGGTGAAAATCAATGAGAAGTGAGTAGCCGGCTGGGGGTGGCTGATGACCTGAGATACCCACTCTCTATGCCCTCACAGTTGCTCTAGTTCTAACAACGTATTCTGTCTCTCTAGGCATTATAACTGGGCTGTAGCTGCCCCCATGATTCTTTCTCTGCAAGCCTTCCAGAAGAACTTACCTGAGGTAATGCTTAGAAAATCCCTAGGGCCATTGCCTTGAAGTCATGGACTTGACAAGAAAGTAGATGGTGGACAGGGAAGGGCCTTGAAGCTTAAGGCTACTGGCTACTGAGTCCACTCAAGGCAGGAAACAGAGGTCCTCAAAGTCTTGCCCATACTGTGTGGACAAAGCCTATCATTCCTAGGGTTGTGAGCCATGGCTGGGTCCTATTGCATGTGGATTTTTCATCAGAAGAACTCAGGTGAATTCAGAGGGGGATAAAGGTCCAATACATCACCAAACTGCGATAAAGCTTCAATGGGAGAGTTTGGGATCTGAAAGATGGGGCCTGGGAAGCAGGGTTCCACTGTGCCCCTCCTCTGTGCTGGACTGAGGGGTCATTGCTTCCTTGGTCAGCCCTCATCTATTAAGAACCTACTATGTGCCACATCCAGCCTGAGGAGTTATATGCCAAACAAACCCATTCCCTAGGAAGACACAGTTGGTTCAAGACTCGTCCAGATGAACATCAAATTCAGCTGAGTGCTGGAGATGAGCAACCTTGATGCCATGACAGCTTACTATGGGGTGTTTGCTGAATAAGTAGCCAGACAAATGGGTGACAGTCCTGAGTAGGTCAGGCAGGGAACAGCCTTTGTGCATACTCAGGAGAAAGCGCTTATCTTCCTCCTCAGATTCCCCATCTTGCCTTCTGGGGCCATCTGCCCTCTCTGTGAGGTCAGTCCCTTCATGGGCAGTGGCAGCCTGTGACTCTACCTGCCCTTTCTGCCCTCTAGGAGGCACTCAGGGCCCCACCCTGGCCTTATCCACTATTGTTCCCTTAGTTAGGCTTCCTTAAAGGTTAAATGTTGACAACATCCTTTTAGTGACGTTTGGCTCTATCATATGGCAACAGAGCTAGCATCTAGAGCCTATGGGAAGGGAGTCACTCCCTTGTCTGACTCTCCTCATTTTATTCCACACAGACCCACCACTTGAGGCCTATGAGAGACCCCCCACCCAAACCTGTTGGCACCCAGGTTATTGACCCCAAGCTCATGTCCTTATGACTTGCGTTTTGTGACTTGACTCTGTAGGGTGTTGGGGTGTCATCTAGGCAGGCCTTGCCCTGGACTTTGCTGGTTTATCTAGCATGTATCTAATCAGCTTTTTTCTCAAGGTAATGCTGCCCCAGTCAGACACTGATCAGAATACAAAGAGAGAGATAGGATCATGGGTTAGAGTATCCGACTTCAGGAAGTTGTCTCTCTGTCTTTGGGATTGAAGAATATCCTGACTGCAGTCTGTTTCCAGGGCCACTTGGAGGCAACATGCATGGAATACCAGCCCTTAAAACTCTCACAATGCACTGTTACCTTCAGCGCTTTGGTAGGGCATAGGCTTGTGAGATCTGGAAACTGGGTTAGAGCCAGGAGTTCTGGTGATCCAGGAAAGGCCCTTGGTTTCCTCTGCAGAGTTCAATGAGTCATTGTTGGGCTCTCAGGAGGAGGAGAGGAGAACATTTTCTTCAGCCTCCAGAGGTTGATAGTACCATGCTCTAGGTTGGGTCAAGATTCTGGGCTCATGGGTTCCCAATGCCAACATAAGATAGATTTATGGGGTACAGAAAGAACCTGTGGCCATCATCTACCCACAGAGCACTGTGGACAAGCTTGAGAAGGAGAAGATGCCCCGGAAGGGTGGACGATGGTGGTTTTCCTGGAGACGCAGGGACTTTCCAGCTGAGGAGGTAGGTGGGTGGCCAGGGATCATGGGCCAGGGCCAGGGCCAGCACGGGGCGGGAAGCAGAATTTGCTCATGTAAGTTCTTCCCACAGCACCATGCCCAGAGGGAGAAAACCACAGCCAGGGAGCAGCAGGGGTAAGTTGGACCTGTTGGCAGGGCTCAGGGCTGCAGCCTGGTGAGAAACCACCCTGGTTTGGGTGGGTGGGGGTGGGGTGGGCAGGTTCCAGAACTTCTTCCCCAGACATGGTGGTTGTCAATTCCCAAGCACTTTGTTTTCCTGAGAAATGTTTCCACCTCCCAGATGGGAAAACTGAGACCTAGACATGTCAAATGTCCCTGTAGTAGGAAATGGCAAAGCTGAACAGGTATGCAGACTCCTAGCCTGGGTAAGGGGCTGCTGTACTGAGGAGAGGGTCAAGGGTCTCTCTTTCCAGTGCACAGGGACTTGCTTACTTGATCTCTCTCTCTCTCTTTTCCTCTCCCTCTCTCTCTCTCCCTGGCCCCCTCTCCTCTCTCTCCAACCTTGGTAGTGACCCAGCCATCCAAGTTTGAGGAGCAAGGGACTGAGGATCTGTCCCAGGATACATGTATTCAGGACAATATCTGGGGTGGACATCCCAGGGAGGCATACTGAAGATGTTTTGGCCTCCATTCCAGCTTGGCTCTCACCTTCCTGGGTAGACATCCCACACGGGTGGCACTTGAAGGGAAGGCAGTCTCTAGAGGGACAGGTCCTGTCATGTTCCTGGTTTGAGAGTAAGCAAAAGAGGGGCATTCTTCTGAGGGAGGTGGCTCAAATGCCAGTAATGCCCACAGAGAGAAGATGGAAGTCCCAAGCAGTGATGATGACGCTCCAGATAGTCCTGTGATCCTTGAAGTCCCCACACTGCCAGCCTCCACTCCAGGCTGCATCCCTACCTACAAGAAATCCCTTCGTCTATCTTCTGATCAGATTGTGAGTGTGTGTGCCCCTGTGGAGGGGCTGGACTGTGTTAATTCTACCCAAGTCTCAGAGCCATGATGAGATGCTGTTCACCATAGCCCAGATCTACCCCATAGGCAGCTTCCCTGGTGGTCTCTATATGAACAGTGATGGGGGCTCACTTCTTCATGGGCCAGTACATTCCTCTCAGCTCTGATGGGAAAAGTCCTCTCATGTCCTAAAATAACTACCTGCAGTGTACCGCAGTATCCCTTGGAGTCCTCATCGAAGTCATCCGTGCTGACAACAACTCTTAAGTTTTTGACAACCCCTTCCATCTGTCACTGTATAATTCCCTGAGATCTTTAGCTGGTGGCCCCAACAGCCAAGAAGGCATTCAGGGTTTGATTGGCTTGGTACAGGGTAGCAGCCATTTGTCTGGTACCCTAGAGTACTTGTCTACTTTTGGATCAGTGAGGTCATGGAGGCCACCTAGCTATGATAGAGAGCAGCCACTGTCATTATTTATGGATCATATTCAGGGCTAGGTCTCCTTTTAGGGGAACATTGACTCGGGTATCCTGGCCCCAGAAAGAGGCTTTCTATGATGGTCCCATAGGGTCCCCTCCTCTGGAATAGAGTATCCCCTGTCAAGACCAGCCCTTGCCTTGGGGCTGGCCTAGAAACCCAAGTGGAGAATCGCAGACATGGCCTTCTGATATTTGTGACATGGAGAGTCCATTGGAAGTCAGGGCTCCTGTGCCAGGCACTGTGCAGGTCCCTGGGCAGCACAGATGCCTTCTTACCATGTACATATATCCATGTGAGGCTATCATGAGACCCCTCAGGAATGGTCTCTGACTAAAGGGAAGCAGAGGAAGAGGCTCATGGGGATCAAAAGCCACAGTCAAAGTAGGGGGTAGTAGGGGACCATACCTTCCCTCTTTGTTGTCCCCAGCGGTGTCTGAACCTGCATGAAGGAGCTAACGATGTGGTTTTCAGTGTGACTACCCAGTACCAAGGCACCTGCCGTTGCAAAGCCACCATCTACCTGTGGAACTGGGATGACAAGGTTGTCATCTCTGACATAGATGGCACCATCACCAAGTGAGACCCAGCTAGCTGTGAGGAGCCTGTGTGGGGGGGGTGCTTGGGGGACTTACCTCCCTTTGTTCTGGGTGCGTGGGAGCATTGTGAAATGCCTTTCTCCAGGTGGGCTGAGATACCCACCCTCATGTTGCATGGGAGCCATTTGGGTAACCTAAAGGACCTTTCTTCCCTGGCTATAGGTCGGATGCTCTGGGCCACATTCTCCCCCAGCTGGGGAAAGACTGGACACATCAGGGCATTACTAGTCTCTACCACAAAATCCATCTGTAAGTATTGAGCTCTGGCTGTGCCAGGGCTCCTATCTGGAGGGAGTCATAGGAAAGCTTAGGCCACATAACTTCTTCCCTGGGAAACCAGTCTTGGATATCACCAGTAGCCTGGAAGTCCATAAACCCTTTCTAGTTCTTAGTTCTCTTGTGAGCCATCTACCTGCTGACCTTAAGGTAGCAGGAAGCCCATAAAACAGGTCATCTCTCAAGGCCTTCCCAAGTCCCCTTTCTGCAAAACCCCCTGGATTTGAAGGCCAGAGCCCCAGAGTCAAGCTGGGCTTATAGCATAGGGGCAATGTGAATACTGAGTTTGTCTCTGGTTCTGTCTCCTCTTCCCCCCACCAGAAATGGGTACAAGTTCCTGTACTGCTCAGCACGGGCCATCGGCATGGCTGACCTCACCAAGGGATACTTGCAGTGGGTGAGCGAGCATGGCTGTGGCCTTCCCAAGGGCCCCATCCTGTTGTCTCCCAGCAGCCTCTTCTCTGCCCTCCACAGGTAACCACCCTCACACACTGGCCCACGGCGCCTTGCAGGGAAAGGCCAGAGCACCTCCAGCCTCGCGCACATTTGCTCATGGGTTTCAGACAAGGCTGGGTCAGATGTCTTCTGACCCTCTGGTGTCCTGACTTTCCCTTTCCCTCTTCCCTGTCCATGGTCATGGCCATTCCAGAGAGGTGATTGAGAAAAAACCAGAAGTGTTCAAGGTTGCCTGCCTGAGTGACATCCAGCAGCTCTTTCTGCCCCAAGGTCGACCTTTCTATGCTGCCTTTGGGAACAGGCCAAATGTGAGTGTCCCCCTCCTCCCTGCTCCAAGCAGCCTCAGACACTGCCCTAACCCTTTCCGTCTGCTGTAGGATGTTTTTGCCTACCGGCAAGTGGGCCTACCTGAATCTCGAATCTTTACGGTCAACCCCCGGGGAGACCTCGTTCAGGAGCTCATAAAGAACCACAAATCCACGTAAGGCCACATGTCCCCCATGCCCAGTCTATACCAGAACCCCAACTTCACTTTCTCCCCGGACAAATCCTGGGCCTCACCAACTGTGAAGACCACTGCCATGTGACAACTTAGACTCAGTGCAGCTCTTTCTGCCCACAGGTACCAGCGGCTCGGGGAGGTGGTTGAGCTTCTCTTCCCACCTGTGGTGCGTGGCCCTAGCACAGACCTGGCCAACCCTGAATACAGCAACTTCTGCTATTGGCGGGAGCCACTGCCATACGTGGACTTCGATGCCCTAGTATGAGCCTACCTAGGCCTGACCCAGGACTGATGCGGTGCTAAGGACACTAAGTATTAGAAGATGAGTCCCAGTCCAACAAGGGGGCAGCAAGTTGGTTGGCAGCCAGAGAGCCTTGAAAACAAGTGCTGTATCTTCCATGAGATTACTCAGTACCAGGGCACCTGACACTACAAGGCCATTTACTTGAAGATATGGAATAGCGAAGCAATCGTCTCTGGCACAGATGGCTGTGGGGAGCATGGAGATTATCTAGGGACTATGGGTGTGCCCAGGACCTGCCTTCCTACTGGGTACCTCCAACAATTAAATGTGTCACTAGACCCTTGCAGGATTCTCTATCCCCCGAGGTTAGTAGTTCTTAACCTTTCATAGGGGTCACATATCAGATATCCTGTATATCAGATATTTATATTCTCACCCATAATGGTAGCAAAATAACAGTTATGAAGGAGCAATGTCAATGATTTTATGGTTGGGGGTCACCACAACATGAGGAACTGTATTAAAGGGTCTGCATTAGGAAGATAGAGAACCCTAGGTATATCTGTCTCTGTGGTCTTGCTTCAACTTGTGATAGAACAAGCCTCATGAAAACTTGAGACCTAGACAGACAGACCAACAGCAACCCCTTTCTCAGGGTCTGGCTGAAGGCCATCTGGGAACACTGCTATCCCATCCCTTCCTGGGAGCCCAGACTGTCCTCCAAAGTCAGATGTTACTGTGTCCCTATCTGCCCATAGCTCCTGATCCATGCATCACTCTTCCTCTAAATACTATAAACTCTCAGCCCCAAGCCTGGATGGTCCAGGGCCCCTCTAACAAGAGGACAGAGGAACTGGGGGGGGGTCACAGAAGGGCTTATGGATGGTGGTTCCTGCCAACCTTGTCCCTGCCAAACTACTGCCTCTGCTGCTCTTGGCCCTTCCTGAGGGCTCAGCCCAATCCTGGCTACAGCAGATGGTGTTTGCTGACCATCATGTTCTGGCTTCAGCTGGTCAGTCTAATGTCCAAGGCACAGTGGGACACAAAATGACACCAGTAGCTTTCCCTAGGGAAGAAAGTGCCTTTGGATCAGTTCAGAACTTTAATCCTCAACCTGCTTTCCAGCCACATCAGTGTGGGGGACCAACATTGAATGTCCACAAGCCAGAATATAGAGCTGTGCAGGAAACAAACAGCACAGCAGGCCCAGGGGGAAACTGAGGCCAGGGGTCAGCAGACATGGCCAGTCTGTAAGCACCAGTGTTTTTTTGTTTTTTTTTTTGTTTGTTTGTTTGTTTTTTAGCTATTCCTGAACAGCTTCTAGCCTCAATTTCTCCCCAGTTTGTGAACCTCCTGGCACAGCTGGGGTGTTATAAGGATGTTAAAAAGCAAGGTTTGGACTCCTATTCACCCAGCTACAGCCTCTTTCTCAGGGTCTGCCTCAATAGACTCCAAGGCTGCTCTTGGCCAGAGGTACTGACCTGGGTGGCAGGGAGAGATTTTCCCCTAACTGGAGAGGACCATGTGGGTGTATTTGTGAATTCAAAGAAAAATGATATATTGGGATGGGTCTTTCCTTTGGAGTCTACAGCTGCCTACACCCTCACCCTGAGGCAAGATCAAAAGGAATATGGAGAGCTGGCTGGGCTGTAGGGCTTCTGTTCTGTCCTGAAGGATGTGTGGGGAGTTGGGAACCTTGGGTGGCTTCTGGTCTTTGGTTCAGAAATAGCATGTATGAAGCTGCCATATAAGTCCAGTGGGCATCATCTTCCTTACATACCTAAGGATGGAAGCCCAAGGGACAAGGCAAGAGATGCCTTCAAGGGCTGTGACTGGTCCCTGGTCAGTGGACAGGTTTGTTAGTCTTGGCCTGGAACTTTGCACAGTTGCTAACTCCAGTGTGTCTGCAACAAGAGAAAATGCAGACATTGCAGTGTGCCATCTCGGAAGGCCTTTCTCTTCAGGCATGGCATGTTTGTCTTGGCTCTTCTGAGACAGCATCTTGTGTAGCTTGCCTTGACTCTTATCCTGAATTGTCCAGACTGCACCACTGAGGGTGGCTTTCAATGGCTGTGACAGTCATGTTGAGCTGGACCAAGGCCGTTCATCCAGTGACCTCTGGATGGCCAAGGAAAGCTGGAAGGTGCTGCTGGGAGGGGTTGGCCTCTGGGATGATATTCCCAGGGTTGGTGGGATCTGTCCAGCCATCTAGTCAGCTTGCCCTGGCCTCACCTCAGCCAGCTGGGCTCTGCAGTCCAGTAGGTCATCCCGGAGTCGGGCAATGTCCTGTGTATGCTGGGCCAGCGTGTGGTTCAGCTTGTCTATGTGACCCCACAGGTTCTCCCTGGACCTCAGCTGCTCAGTAGGCAGACTGTTCAGGTGGGCAGCCAACAGGCCCAGCCTCTCATACGCTCCCTCCACTTGAGCTACCCGTTGGTCAAAGTGGCCCATTGTGTGCTGGAGTCCCCGGGCTGTGTCCCAGCAGCGGCTCAACCCTCCAGCCACACTGGCAACACCAGCCTTGAGCTTTTCCAGCTCCCCTCGCAGGTTCAGGACCTGCCTGTGGCCAGCCTGAAGCCGTGAGCCTTGACTGCTGACCTGTTCCTGGATGGCATGGACTTCCGCTTCCACCTTTCGTTCTCGTTCATCCAGGGATGTGTTGGCAGCCAAGAAGGCATCAGAGTACTGGCTGACAGAGTCACTGAGGCCTGTGAGTGACTTGCTCACTGAGTTCAAGTTGACCTTCAACAAAGTGATCTCACCTTGGAGTGAGCTTCCTGTCCCTTCTGCCAGCTGCCCCTGAACTTCGGCGACTGTGCCATTGAGTTGTTGGAGCAGAGCAGTGTGACTGGCCACCTGGTGTAGGAGGGCCTCACTCCGCCTCTGCCAGGCCTTCACCTCCGCCACAAGGTTGTCCAGGACGGCTGAGGTGGTACTTGGGGTGCAAGAGGTCTCCAGGCTGACCAGCCGTTGTTCCAGCACGGCTAGCTCTGTCTGAACAAGCGGCCGTGCCGATCTGTCTGGTGTGGCACTGTTGTGGCTTAGCTCTCCAGTCAGAGCTGCCAGACGCTCCTCTAGGTTCTGTACTCTCTCTTCCAGCATAGACCCAAAGCCACCGACACCCCAGCCCCCCATCTCCATTCTCAGACAGCAGCCCCTTGCTCCATTCTCTGTCCCATTGATGGTCTCTAGGCCCTCTAGCAGCCCGTCCACACCTCCCTGGAGCATAGCAGCAGAGAGGCGTGCAAGCTCATCTGCAGCCAGGGTGCTGAGGCTACCTTGGGCTTCAGTGACAGCCTGCAAGTTCCTCTCGAGGCTGTCCACACGGGCATTGATCAAAGCCAGTTGGCTGCAGCAGGTGCCCCCACCTGTCAGAGTCAGGCCCTGCAGCTGAGTGCCCAGCTGGGAGAGCTCCCTACGCAGGGCCAGCTCCCGGCCATCAAGGCTCTGGTGCAAGCGCTGGCTGGCTGCTTGGCCCTCCTCACACTGCTGCCGCACCTCCTGCACACGCAAGTCACACTCACTCTGGACACCTTGCAGCTTCTGCTCAAAGCCATCCAGCAGGCTTCCCCAGAGTCGTTGTAGTCGCTGGTCCACATACTCCTCCAGCAGTGCCAGGGAGGTCAGAGGGGATGGTGTGGCTTCCCGCAGTCGCTGCAGGTGAGCCTCGTGACCAAGGGCCATCCCGTGTACCTCATCTAAGAGCTGAACCTTGGTCTGTAATGTGTTACTCACCTCTGTCACCTTGCTCAGGATCTCACCCAGAGGAGGGATGAGTGGTCCTCTGCCTCTGTCTTCTGGGTCCACCAGCCCCTGAGGGATGACCCCAAAGCCTATAGGCACAACAGGAGCCCTGGGGTCACCAGTAATCCTATTGGGATCCTCCTGGCTGGCCACCAAACCACTCAGAGTGCCATATGCTTGAGATAGGCGCTGAACATCACCCTCCAGCTGTTCTAGCCGCTCACCAAACAGCCCTTGGCCTTTTCTTCCTAAGGAAGAAGAAAGACCCCAGAGGCACCCTGACTTTGTCATCCTCATCCATAGGCACAGCTCCCTCATCTTTATGATGGGGTCTGGAATGGGAAGGCTGGAACCTGACAGTCATTCCCATATGAGCTGTACCTCCCCACCTCCACTCCCATCGATGAGAGCTTAGGCAGCCTTCACCAGTTCCCACCCTGCCACTAAGCCTAAGAAACCTGACTCCCCTTGGAGGACATCCATGGACAGACTCACCACGGGGACTGGGGGCCTCTCTGCTGTAAGAAGAAGGCCTGGGGCCTGGGCCCAGCTGCCCTAAGGGAGTCTGGGGTTCTGGCTCTCGGCGTGGTGGGGTAGCTCCACGGTCTGTGAGATGTTCAGGGCAGCCTTCTCCAGTAAGACCAGGACAGCAACGCCAGTCCAGATCTGTCACAGTCTTGTAGCCAATCTTGTATCTGGGTCTGAGCACTGAGCGGTACCTGGATCAGAGAGGCCAAGGGAGCAGCATATTGTACCTGTGGGCTGAGATTCCTGCCCCCTGCTGGCATTTCAGACAACCTTTGGATGTCTCCACTCCTATGGGTTTCCTTTTCTGACCTTCTAGATGACAAACCATGTGGAGGAGTGGGCCTCACAGAGGCCCTGAGTTGTGCAAGTGAAGAACATACTGTTTGCTTAAAGAGAATGCTAGGAGGGATTTAGCTCCAAACTTCCCAAAACTACTTGGTCCCCATCAGCTCCTGCTGCCATGAGAAATTCCATTCTGGCTTTAACAGAGCCTCTCAGAACCCTGACAAAGCCTCACACTCCTGGTGTGTGGGAGAGACACTGCACCAAGGCTGCTTGGGCAGCCCCCTTTCACTGTCCCTCGCTCCTCTCAGCTCCCACAAGCTGCTTTTCACCTTGCCACTCATCTCTAGCTTACTCAGGGAACTGGGCTCTGCTCAGAGGCTGGGGTGAGCAGGAAGGGAAAGCCCAAAAGGGCAGGCGGGGCTCACCAGGGTCTCTCCCTCCTTTACCTGATCAGCCTGTTCGCTCTGGTAGAGTGGAGCAGGGGTCTGTTACATCTCATGGCCTGTGTGGCCTGTCTGACTGACTGTGCCAGGACCTTTGCCTTCCACCTTAGCCTCACCTTCTGGTCACCAGAGCTTTCCTTGGGTCTCTGCTCTGGGCCCCTGTAGTATCAACCTATCCTCTCCTTCCTTAAACACTGCCTCCATCACATCTTAGCCCAGCCTCTCTCTTGTACCCCTGAGGCTTCTGGGCTCTAAATTAGGCCTGTCCTCATCTCTATCGGGAAATATCTGCTGCAAGTTCAAAATCTAGGCGTCTTTCATGGCCTCTTTCAGGGATCCTGAACACTCTAGCCAGCAGCGAGGCTCAGGTAGGCACTTTGAAGTCCAGGATACAGCAGCCCTTTGCAGAAATGGCTCTGTTCTCAGCTGAAGGCAGCATCTAGCATTACTCACCTGACTGTGGAGGGGCAGTTGGGCCCCCATCCACACTGGCGGTACTCAGCCTTTACATAGCTCTCTGCTCCCTCCTGGAGGATGCAGGTCACATTCCTGTGCACCACATAGGCACAGAGGGACCTGGAGAGGAAAGAGCACCTCTGGAATATTTGGCCAGAGCCCTCACCTGTTGATCTCAGGAGCCCCCCCCCCCATCTCTTTTATGCATTCGTGTTCCATGGAAGCCTGGACGTTTGCCTGGGGTCCAGATTTTCTGGGCTGGGCCCAGTTCCACACTGGTGTCTGATCTGTGTCCTTGATGGTGCCTGCTGAGCCAAATGCCCGACTGAACCAGGAGAGTGAGTGGCTACCTACCCCTCTGAGAAGGCCTTCCCAGCCTCTCCCTCAACCACCCTGCCTCTCCTCCCACCCTCCAACTCCTTCACTGTTTCTAAACTCCTTATGTTGTACTTCAAAGCTTCAAAGAGCGCAACTTGCTTTTCCTCTTTCCTTCCCTGAAAATGCTCTCTGGCCTCGGCTTTGTCATTTCTTTGCCTTCCCTTCCAGAACGCCTGCTCTGATGCTCACAGAATGTGGCTGTGGGCTGAATACTCGCCCACAAGATTTTACATTCCACTGGAATTCAAATTTGGGTATAAACAGACCCCTGTGGAAGTCTGTCTGTTCTACAGTACAAGCCCAGGACCCACAAGTCCTCACCAGCTCTGCGGTTCAACCACCTTGGGGCTCCCACAGGGTTCTTGAGGCCAGACCGCAGGAGGGGAGGAGCGTGGTCCTATCTACAACTACTCGAGTCAGAGGGGAGAGAGAAGGCATCGGATGGGGGAGCCCAGCGTGTTCCATACGCCGACAGCCTTGCCTCATTTCCCTCCACCTGGTCCACTGCGCCTGGAGTTTGCTCACAGCGCAGCTGGAAAATGTTACTTCGCTGGAAAGGTTTCCATGGGCACTGCCAGGATCCCAGCCGCCGCGCCAGGCCCCCTCGGCTGACTTGTTCTTCGCCAACCCCGCAGCCTCCTGGAGCTTGGGGCGACTGCCCGCGCAAAAGATCACGCCGGGGGAACCGCCTCTTCCGTAGCTGGGGTACCCCGGTCTCGACGCCTCAGCGCGAGTCCTGGCAGGTGGGAGTGGCGGTGCGCCACGCGGAGGGCCCCCTCGTGTTCCCGCCACGGCCCGGCCCCGCACTTACTTGTGCGGCCCCGGGCGCAGCCGCGGACGCCATCCGGTCGTGTAGAGGCTGTAGCGGGAGGCACTGGGCTGTGCTGGCCGTGCGAGGAGCGGGGTGCCCTTGGCCTGCGCCCCTGAGAGCAGCGCCGCGACAGCGCACAGCCACACGGGCAGATGGTGGCCCATAGCGCTCCGTCTCCACTCGGCCCCGCGCCGTGCCTCCCGCGGGGGATTCTCCGCTCGCCAGCCCGACTCCCGCCTCCACTCAAGACCCCCGGAGCGCGCTTGTTCCACCGCCTGGAGCTGCGCAGCCGATGCGTCCCGCCGAGTGGCCCGGGCTACTCGCCGCTGGGGCCGCGCAGGGGAGGCGGGAGGCGGGCTCTGCACGGATTAGCATAAACTTGGGGCCGCGCCGCGAGCTCCGCCAGCCCCCTCCCCGTCGCCAGCCCCCCGGCCCCAGATCCGAGCTGACGCCCGAGGGCCCCCGCCCCCAGTGCAAACGCGAGGTTAAAAAATGAGCAGGCAAGACGCAGGACACTGAATTTCAGGAGGGTCCCGAAAAATGCGCAGCCCCTGGGTACTCAGCAAGCAGCAGCAAAACCTTGAGGCAGGCCTGGCCACCCTGCTGGGAACCCCCCAGACCCGCTCAATATCTAGCTGGATTATACACACACTAGTTTTAACAGTCTTACTTGCACATGGATACTGCAGTCCAGGCCCTGGACCAGGAATGACCGTGTTTAAGGGCACACTAGGGAACTTTCCCCAGTCACCTTCCTGCAATAAGGTTCGACTGTCCACTGTCTATGGGTGCCCCAGGAGATCTGATAACTGCAAAATTCCCTTCTCACAAATTTCTGCAACGGGGTAGGGTGGTCAGTCTGCCTGTCTGGGCTCAGTGGTGATGGATTAGCATGGTCTCCCTTACGCAGGAGCCCTCACCAAGCACCCATTTACCTCCAACCCCGCCCCCCCATGTGTCTCAAAAAAAAAAAAAAAAAAAAAAAAAAAAAAAAAGCCTTAGATCAGGTGGGCCATGGTCTGCTTCATTACTGCTATGACAGCCTCATTAAGACACTACGTTAAGCCAGGCTCCCTGCATATTTCATTCATAAAAATGGCTCTTGTAATCTAAGAGTTAGTTGGTCTATATAGTCACTCTTATTAACTGCCTTCCCTGCAAGAGATACCTTTTGAATCCCGATTCTGCTGTCCAAGAGGACCACTTCTTTCTGGCATTGTCTGATCCCTTCAGGTCCACAGTCCTCTGGAACTGAATCTTTGGTGTGTTGGGGAGGAGGGGTGTTCATGTGTATATGTGTTCCCATGAGTATGGAGCCGGGGTCAATCTCAGGTGCTGTTTCTCAGACACTTTGTTTCTTGGAGACAGGGTTGTTCACTGTTCTGAGTCTGCCAAGTAAGCTAGGCTGGCTGGTCCAGGAGCCTCAGCGATCCAGCACTGTGTTTACACGCTACTGCCACCATGCCTGGCTGTTTCCTCTTCCTTTTCTCTCTCTCCTTAAACCTTTTTTTTTTTTTTTTTTTTTTTAATCAAATTGAAGTTGTCATGCTTACAGGAAAGCAAGCATACCACTGACTGAGCTGTCTTTCTGACTCCAGTTTGAGGTGTGCTTTTGTAAACACATTGGAGGGAAGGTGACAGTATCCAGGATGCAGTTCTGAACCCACATCTATGCTTTCCAGCTGGTCCTCAGGTCAGGCCAGGCTGATTGTCCTGTCTCCTGGCTCCATACAGGTGACTGCAATCTCCTTTAAGGTGTGAGTGTTTGTTTCTATGGTTGCCATCACGAGTACCAATTCAGGTGGTTGGGAAATAACAGCATTTTGTGAGACTGGATGGCTTCATGGTTAGCAGCAACAACTCCCAGCACTTGTGTGGTTGTTCAAAAGTATCTATAAGTCCGGTTCTAGGACATCCCATGCCCTCTTCTGGTCCTTTCCAGTACTAGGCATATACTGTGGCACACAGATATACTTAAGATAATAAATCCGACAAAAAACTATTTAGAAATGACAGCGATTTATTGTCCCTTATTTCTGGAGGCTTACCATCCAGAATCAAAGTATTAGCTGGGTCGTTCCTCTAGATCTCTCCCAGCTTCTGGTGGCTCTGCGCAATCCCTGGCCGGTGTCTGCAGAACTTTCATCTCTGCTTTAGACCTCTCTTGGTCTTCCCATGACCCTCTTCTGTGTTTCTGTGTTCTTATAAGGACAGCGGCCATTGGGCAGCCGCATCTTAAGTAAATATATCTCTGAAGACCCTATTTCCAAATAAGGTCACAATCTGAGGTTCTGATGGAACTAAGTTTTAGCAGGATGGGGCTGTATTCAAGCCACTACAGGGGCTTTTGGAGGCAAGAAGACACACCAGAGCATGCTATGCCACAGCTCCGTGCCAGTTAGGAGGAAGTAAAGGGAGTGGCCTAGAGAGAGGGCCACAGTACTTGGGAAACAGAGCCATTCGGTGACAAGCCCTGGCTTCCTCTATCTGCTTCTAATAACCCACCATTTGAGCTAGCTTCGATGGGTCAGGCAGTTCTCCAGATATACCCAGTGCCTCACATTTACCAGAGATGTTAAGAGCCATTTTGTGAGTATGGGGTACTCATGCTCTTGAAGCCATCGACTTCCTGCTTTTCAGAAAGTCAGACATCTGAGGGGCAAACAGACAGAGCCCAGTCCCTCACCCTGCTGGGCTCTGAATACTTGGCAGCACCACTCAGCTGGCTCTGGGAGAAAGCTCCCCCAGCCCAGAAGCTGTGATCTTTTTCCAAATGGTCCCACCCCTTCCTCTCACTCCCTTCCCCAGCCCCAGATGTGGGGCCGACAACTCACAGGAAGGAGGCTGGACCCTGTTTGAACTTGAGAATGTCCATGTAACAGGGGGCTAGGAGGACAGATGGGTCTTGCTTCTCCTTCCCAGGTGGCTGACATCAAAAACATACTCCTTCTTTAATTGGAACAGTTTGGGGAGCCAGTGCCTGGGCCCCATCCCAGTGGAGGAGGAAGACATCAGCACAGGGAGATGCTCAAGGGCTTGGCTGGATACAGTCAGAGACTGGGGTCTCCCTGTGGATGATGAGGCTACTTTGCATGTGCCAGACAGGAAACCTAGGGAGGCCAGAGGCAGGAGAGGGAAGCAGACAGTTATGTCCTCCCTAACTCAGAGGGGAGCCTCTCCACCTGGATGGAGACTACAGAGGCACCATACACAGAAGCAGTTTCCGTTCACGTGACATGCACAATTCATCATTAGCTACACTCACAGATACATGCCTACCCCACAGAGGCACACACCTTCTCTACCTTTATAGCCCTGGTTTATAGGCATACCAAGAGATACTGTCAGCATAACCTAAGCATCCTAGACAGATGTGGGAATAAACGCTTGTATTTGGAATGCTTCAGTGGTTGAGAGGGCAAAGAGGTGGGTAAGAACCTCTACTGGACATTGGAGCTGTCCTGCTTCCTTGGTGAACCGCCTCCTGGGGCAGAAGAAAAGATCCCAGGAAGATACAGAAAGGTGGGCTTACCTGGTGGGGTATGAGTCTGGGGCCCTAATGGTTTTTTTTTTTTTTTTTTTTTTTTGTTTTTTTGTTTTTTTTGACCCATCCCTTTTTTGCCTCCTCAGAAGTGGGTCTCTGTCTTCTTCTTCTTCTTCTTCTTTTTTTTTTTTTTTTAAGCCTCCTTTTGTCTCACCCAAGTTATAGCTCTTTGTTTATCCAGAGCTCATCACCTAAAATCATTGAAAGCCACAGTTTATGGAATGTAGCTCTTCTTAAAGAGACAGAATACTCAGATTCTGCCAGCTTTCTGGCAGGAGTTCTCTCTGCTGCAGATAAGCCCCTGCTGCTCAGAGAGGTACAGCCAATGCTCCCCTAGGCCAACTATGTAGGTACCTACACTAAGATATGGGTTCTCGACTCTACCCAGACCATCACCCAAGCTCACCATCCCTTCCCAAACTCTTCTTTCTGCATGCATACCTTGGCCTCTATTAAAAGGCTCTTTGTCCAATTCGGCTCAGTACTCAGGAGGCAGAGGCAGGTGGATCTCTGTGAGTTTGAGGCCAGCCTGGTGGTGAGCTAGTTCCAGGACAGGCTCCAAAGCGATACAGAGAAACCCTGTCTCAAAAAAAAAAAAAAAAAAAAAAAAAAAGCCCATTGTAACCCATTTGGACTACACATGCACTGTCGAATTTACACAAGTCTCTGGGGCAGCAGCTTGCATCAGTGCTTTCCAGTTAGACAGAAGTCACTTGTTCAAGAACCTGAGTGGGTAGATGTACAGCCTAGAGTCGAGGACCAGGAGGAGGTCCAGAAGTCATGACATCTGGACTTGGTAAAGCCCAGATAAACTTTCATGGAGTAAGAGTCACTTAGAAACAGCTTCAGCATTGTGCAGTGCTGAAGGGGTCTTCGTGTGAACACATGCAAGCCAGATGCATCCATTATGCAAATTACATGCAAAATACATGTGTGGGCCTCCCAACTTGCAAATGCCAGATGTGACCCTTGGGGACTCTGAATTGGACTGAATGCTGTTGTATGGTACAAGCGTGACCCAGCTTCTTATGGTTGGCAGGGGGAGCTGAATTCAAGGTTACTCACACAGAAGGGGATGAAAGTGCAGGGAGTCTCAGCTGGGTTTGAATTTCAGCTCCTCTAACAAGTTATACCACCTGTTTGAGGCCCCGTCACTCCTGCAAGCTTATATTCCCACATGCAAAGTGACCATTATGAGGACTAGATAGGAGCAATGGCCTTGAAGCTGGGCACACAGATACCCAGTGAGTAGGGCTGTGCCCAGTGGAGAGTCTCTCTCTGGAGAGTGGGCATCTGTCCCTATGACAGCTCCACTGTGTTCCCTCAGGCTGTGGGCAGGACCCTCTCCCAGGGCAGCGGGCATATGGGGGCTGCTGATTGTTACTGTTGGGGGAGCCAGCATCCTCATTTCTCAGTCCTTCAGAAACCTGTCTGGTCCCACTCCATGAGGGACACTGTCTGTATCCTGCACACACCCCAACCTGGCCATTATACCCCGCCCCCCATTCTCTTGACAGTGTGATGTAGCTATTTTTGTGCTGTGAATCATCCTTGCTGATGACAGTCACTTCTCCAGGGAATTCTAGAACCTTCTTCCATACTATCATCTGATCCAAGAACACAAAAGACAGCCTCCTTACCTTAGGGCATAGGCTGGCAGCATGGCTTTTGCTACAAA